AGCGTCTCTCTTCACGCTATACGCTGCACATTCTTTGTTTCTTAAATCCTCCGCAGTGCATAGGCTCCTCTGAGGTCGCAGATGTCGCCCCTATTGGTCGCGCTTGCTATTGGCGAATCAGATTGCAGCGTTCAATGACGAGGGCCGTAGGCGTCATATGATTGGTCGGGAGAGTTTTGTTCGCGGGAGTTGGGCTTCTATGAGGCGTGTAGAGACTAGACAGCATCGCATTGTCGTAAATGACGCATCGGCAAGGTTGCTAACCCTTTTTCGTATTCTAATAAGCACAAGAGCGCTTTGAATAGCATATTCACGGAACTGCTGACCATCTTAAGTGGACTAGTTGTGAAAGAGTGACTGGTTTATTTCAGTCTAGCGTCCACCTGCAATGGTTTCCCAACAATAATTATTATTGACGTGAATATACATCTCAGGCCCGTCCATGTTAAAAGCAAAAATGGAGCATTTCTGGATAGCAGATCAATCCCAATGAATTGTTTTTTTTGACTATGCACTCTGGGACTCTGATGAAATCAAAGAAGTCGGCCTTTTCCGGTTGCCATAGAAATATTTTACTTGATTGAAAGCCGAGAGTTTGAGCAGTAGAGAGAGAGAGAGGAAAAAAAAGGGGAGGGAGATAATTCGAGGACTTACTGGGGTACGATCGAACTCTAGGCAACTAGGCAAAATTGAAATTGGAACACCTTACCCAAAGTGAATATATGTGCGTGGATTTTCCTCGTTAAGCATCTTCATATCGCCGTTTCAGGGAGAAGTAAAGTTAACCTGGTCACACGTTTAAAACGGAGAACTCCTGAACGGAATAAAATTCACGCCGCTTTCCCGTATCGTTTGCGGTAATAAATTTCCATCATCAGTTTTAACGCGCTATTGTTACTGTGCGTTTGCCCAACGAACGGACATACAGGAAATCTGCTATCCCATCAAAAGTTAACCGATACTCGAAAATGCGGTTTCGATTAGAAAAGATCAAGTGCAGGAAGTTGATTTATAACTTATCCTGCATCATAATCCTTAGCTATTTCTGCCACGCCGCTATGCCGGTTTTTGATTAAGCTTCCTCTTCGGTCGTCTGGAGAAACTGCGTAAAAATGACTACTTAATCGGTATTAATTTTTCGCGTTGAGTCTCGATGCCATTATAAATTTAGTACACACAAATATATTCTTGCTTGTACTCGTTTGGTAGTAAATTACGTTTTGTCCAAACTGCAACCAGGAAAAGGAATATCTATTGGTTAAATATTTTCATTCACCAAACACCTTCGGAACGCCTGTATTCGCTGGTACTAAAACTACAATTTGCGTATTCTCTGTGCCTGGAGTATTGAAAAATGCTATAAGCTATTTAGGGGATAAAATGAAGTGTTCAGACGATTTTTAAGTAGATATGGGCTATGATGTATGCTTAACAAACGATATTAATAAATGGATGGATACCATTTTTCCTGAATGCAAGATAGCCTCATAATTAGAACATTTTTTAAAACCGAAAAAAGATATTTTCGAAGAAGACATAAGTTGATACTAACTGAGTACAAACATATTACTTTTATACACGTTTTTTTATTTTAAAAGGTAAAGATTATAGGGTCATCGAGGATCACTGGAAAGTTGTACTCTATAAGTTTTTCATTATTGAGAGATTGTAGTGTTTGCAAGGGTTAGGAGTGAAGCTCGTTCAAATGAGAGCATCCTGAGGTAACTGAAATATCTGAGGATTATGCTGTAAGTGGATTAATATGATGTAATACAACAACGCAAATTGATCGAAAAAATTAAAAGAGAAGACACAAATTAATTAAGTAACACATTAACGGGCATAACTTGGTTATATGTTAAATGCTCCGAACACTGTTAGTCTACACATAAGTGATGAAATAAAAAAAGCACCGTGTTGCTTATTATTTAAAAAAAGTTTCTGAACACGGCTGAATTTTGAGATGCAGGGCATAGTGCATAATGTGCCTTGTATAATTCTAGCCCTTCCCCGGAATAGCTACTTTGGTCGCCTAAATGACAGTTAGTGTGACTAAAATCATCGGCTTTATGGTGAGTACTGCCGACCTTCTCTCGATCCACCTGGCGAAAATATGGTACTTTGATTAAGAAGGCCTAAAAACTCGTTAACAAGCAAGCACCGGCCGAGGAGGCTAGAATGCACGTATGCACTTGGCGCTGTTGGTGCACTGATTGGTTAAACGCTGCCCCGCAGCCGGAATACACAGACTTTGAAAATTTCCATTTTCCGGAAGCCAGTCGTGGATACCTGGCCATGTTAACAGCTGCAGACCCCACGACAGTCCAAGATGCGGAGGCACTGGATCAAAACTGGGCTTAAAAGTCACTAGCGGTACGCGTTTATTGGTCTACACCGTGACCTTGAGGCCCATAATTACCGCTGCTGGTCGCACCCTCTACCAGCGGTCCGTCCTCATGAGTCAGCCAGTACCTCCAGGTTCATCACACGTCGGTTAAAAAGGTTGGACAGTCGACCGCTGCATAGGTTAAGGGAGCTGGAAATGGGGAATCGATCCTCACGGCAAATCATGGCCGTCTTCAAAGAAAATAATCCTGAAATAAGGCGGCTGCAACCTCATGAGATAACCCTTTGCTCCTGCCGATGTGAACTCTGAACTACTTTCCTAGAGAGCCGGCATCTGTAGTCGGTACCAGGTCCTGTGCTTGACACGCGTAGGCAGGTTGGTTGGCTCTGTCAGCCACTTTACTCACGCCCACCTCAGCCAGCTAGATGTTGTTTTGCCACCGGAGTAGTGAGGGCGAGAGAGGAGAATGTGTGGTATATGCCTCACCGGGAGTTGGAGTCATACACGGCCCGGAGGCAACCATGAGGCGTGAAGTCAAAAGACCCACTGCCCCGGCAAGAAGCATCTGTATACGTCTATAATATCTGGTGCAGTTGCAGACAAAGCAACTACGTCGGAGAAACTGGACAACGTCTCAAGACGCGGACTGC